GCCTCTCCAACACGACAACACAAAACATTCAGTTCATTAATTTCGAGCAGCTGCCTCAAGCTGCGGCATGTATTCCTCCAGTCTAATATCTCAGATCCACGGGGGGACTGAAATGTCTGGACGTGGAGCCTGAGAGGTTTTAAAGGCAAGTTGTGTTTACATAAGTTAAGATAAAAATCAGCAGAATTACACTTCATCAGCGGCAGAAGCAGCAGAAACAAGGAGGCAACTGATCTTGAGAATGTAACGTACGGTCTCGTCAGCAAAAATAACCAAATACAAGCTTACATGGTGATAATTTATCTAATTTGTTTTATTCTGTACGTTTCATTTATTAAATTATGGGGGAAAAAAAAACATTGGCTGTCATGAGGTCATGTCAAGAAGAAAACCTCAACGAAACTGGGAAGCCAGAAATAACCGTCAAAAATTCAAGTGAGCTGCAGGCAGTGTTCACATCGAGCAAAGAGGAGACGAGGGAGGAAAATAAAACCTGTTCCATCAATTAAATAAACGCAGCATGGCTCAAAAACGATGCACAGAGGAGCACGTTGTCATGAATTTGTTGGAGGATACATTCAGCACGGTGAAACAGAGTGTATGTATGTAGCATGTAGCATGTTAGCATAGCATGTTTCCATTTTTTTCTCTAATGTTTTAATGATGGAAAAATTAGCCCACAGTGGGAAAAAATGCCTGGAAACCAGTTTAAAGGGTTTAGAGCCCATTTACATGCACAATATGTAAATGTGTTCCTTTTAATATTCTGGATTCTGAATATTTAAATCCAAGTCCTGTTTCTACATGTAAAAAAACGAGTTCATTGTTTAGTTAATTCCACTTAACTGCAGCACATTAGTCAGAAAAATGAAACTTTAGCAGCTTCTACACAGCAATATAACATGCTCCAGTTGTAAACAGCTCATCTACAAAACATTTTCTGACGTCCACGTCTTCTGCCTCATCAATTGATTTATATTTTCAATCAGATACATTAATTAGTGGGAATTAATCGATTGACCATTAATCGTTACCATTGCTAATTTGAACTATAAATGTGACCCAATGCACTGCGCCTTGGGCTACATCTGACATACAGCCCGAATTACACTAACGCATGATAAAATACTGATTTGGGTTTCATTACATGGATCGGCCCATTTAGTCGTTTTCTACATGTAGGTAACACATAATACTCCAGAGCCCCACATCGCTGTTAAATAGCATCAGGTGCAATGGGACTGATTTCATGCAGATGGGTCACAAATGCTGGAAAATGAGTCAAAAAGTTACTCTATGATCTGTGTAAACACCAAATCCCAAACATGAAAGGCATGTTTATGTATTCACCGAAGAAACAAGTGAAACCAGAAGATTAAAAAATGGACGTGAGATACAGAAAACACAACAATAAATCAGTTTAGATGCATTATGGAGGCATCACACTGTGGTACGTTACTTTGGGAGTTTTCCGATGGCTGTAATTACATTTAATTATCTAATCTTAGTTTACAGTTTGGGCTCCAGATAGTAGAAGTAGCAACAATTACATGAAGTGGCTGCTTTAGTTTTAGTCCAGACACACTAACTGAAACACGAGGTCATGAACCAACACAGAAGACGCTGTCATGGTGGCTCTTTACCAACACAAAACTAGTCTATTTCGTTGCGTCACTCGCTCAGTTTTGTGAGTTTGCGATAGACACACTTTCAGAACATCCTCCTCTCAACCTCCAGTGAGAGTTTCTTTCCCTTTTTACCTTCACACTTCAAAACCTGTGCAGGCATCGGGCGCCGCTTCGTGTTCATTCAGCTTCCTTCGCCCAGTGACAGCCATCGATTCTGCCGCTGGCCGACTGGATCAGCTGGGAGGGTTAAATGCCTTGCTCAAGGACACGTCCGGCGAGAGGGAGCGATGAGCCTCGCTCGCTTTTATCCGTCCTCGGCCATTCATCATCCTCAGCCTCCACTCCCATCGCTTTATTCGTAACAATCACCTCCAAACACCCTCCTCTCAGGTTCCTCCACCCTCTCCTCCGATCCCTCCATCACTGTCTCCATCTCGCTCTCGTCCCACCACCCACTGCTTCTATTATCACTCCGGAGGGCTCTGATGAATGACCGAGTTTGATTTGGGTGGAGGAGGAGGAGGAACTGAGCGAGGGGATGGGAGGGAAGCATCGGGGAACAGGAGTGGTGTTAAGTTATGCTTGTGAGGCACTTCGGCTCGTGTTGTTGTCCAGAGTGATTTAGCAAAACCTCTGTTTGCTGCTTCCAGAGATCCAACACTGTGCATTAGGGATGTACTGCTGTGGTTTTTGACGTCAATACCGATTATAGGTAATCGAGAAATGACAATTAAAGGTTGTTATTACTGAATTTAAGCATGCATTCAGTACATTTTATACATTAACAGCATGCAATAGGAAACCTGTCATTCATATCCAGGCGTTTCCATAAATAATGCTGGAATTCCAATAGAAACAAGAGTGATAACGTTTGAGCGACAAGCGACGCTACGATGCTCTTTCTGTTTATTGTTCGATAAACTGATTGAGATCAGTGACAGTTTGTCTCCTGCAGTTCAACCTGCTTCTCTGCTTTGTTCTTCTTTCACTTTTATCGCCCAGACCTCAAAGCTGTTTTTTCTACACTCTTTTTAATCTGTGGCTGCCTCCTAGCTTAGCGGCTAGCCGTTAGCCACTGTGAAAGTGGCTAATGTCCTGATTGGCGTGGTTGTGTCTCTGCTAGAGTGACGTGTCTCTCAGTTTGAGCACAGTTTTAAAGTTAATCTGATTTTAGAAAGGTGCTACGGTCCTCTAGCTAGTGTTAGCCACCTCACAAGAGACACAGCAAACCTCGTAGCGGCTAGCCGTTAGCCTAGCTTTAGCCACTTTGAAATCGGCTGATGTCCTGATTAGCGTGGTTGTGTGTCTGCTAGAGTGATGTGTCTCTCAGTTTGAGCACAGTTTTAAAGTTAATCTGATTTTAGAAAGGTGCTACGGTCCTCTAGCTAGCATTAGCCACCTAACAAGAGACACAGCAAACCTCTTAGCGGCTAGCCGTTAGCCTAGCTTTAGCCACTCTGAAAGCGGCTAATGTCCTGATTTGTGTGGTTGTGTCTGCTAGAGTGACATGTCTGTTAGAGCAGAGTGTCAAAGCTAATCTGACTTACGAACATGTTACGGTTCTCTAGCTAGCGTTAGCCACCTGATAATAGGAACAGCAAACCTCTTAGCGATAGCCGTAGCCTAGCAACGTCTACACCAGGTGAACTATTGGGGTCTTTTTTTGTGTTACACTTTGAATGTTTGTGCAGTAAACATTCACCTTCCAAACACCAAAGCTGCCACGTTCTGCTAAAGCGTTGTCTGTCTCTCTGCGTAAACAATCGCTGTAACTGGCTGTTACATATGACACGTAACAGCCAATCAGATAGTGGTGTGGGCGGGGCATTGCTTAGGACTACAGTAAGACGGCTGCATCAGAGCCAAAGCAGCGATACTATTTTGCGATAATCTGTCAATAAAAATAACAACACCAATGATCTAGAAATGCCAAAAATCGGCCTCGACAATCGGCTGGTTTGATAATCAGTCGTTCACTGCGGTTGAGCAATGTCTGTTGGGTGTTACTGGTGGGCCTAAATAGTTTTTAGAGGTCATTAGTTCAGCTTTTAAACTAATGACAGATGACTTAAATGTGTTTTTAAGCGATTTCTCCTCAACCATCCACCAAAACCCAGACTGCAGTTTAATTATTGCTTCCCGTGTGTTCTCTTCCTCGCTAAAGTCCAGAAACATCATGCGGGCGAGGCAATAATCAAAAGCTTGCCAATCTCACGTCTCTATTGGTACCGCTCTTAATTAATTCAGCCAACCTTTCTCGCTCGGAGTGTGAGGATATTTTTGTTTCCTAGGAAACACTCGTCAAGTCTGCAATGTGTAATTATTTTTTTATTGAACAAATCATAACGAGCGAGAACATACTCCAAAATTCTCGCTCTGCGGAGTGAAATTAATGTGAGTTGGGTGATTTGAAGGGAAGCAAACCTGTAAAATTATGCTTCAGTTGGCAACAGAACACACAGCATAAAGCCCCGCTATAGTGAAACAGCTCAAATATTTTATGGACAGCCTTCATTAGACTCATTTAAATAGTTAACAGAACGGTAAAATGCTTTGGTTTTCCTTCATTTTTGGCTGCGTCTCACTTCACATTATCTCCAGCGTGGGTTTGTTGTGGAAGGACGACGGTTCAATGATTTCTTCTCAACAAAACAGAAATCTCACCTTCAGAAGTACTTTTCAACGCAAAAAAAAAAAAAAGAAGTCAATGCGATCGATGTAAAATGCCTTAGCTCCACTGGCGTCTCTCCCCGATGCTCGCTGGCGGATCATTACCCGACATTCGCTCGCTCACGACGTTGCGTGGCTTCAGCATTTCGAGGGTTCACTACGATCTGACAGCTGTGGTTCGAGAACAAACAAGGCAGCGGGAGGGTGGGGAAGCGGCTCGAGCTTCAAAGAGCCGACGCTGTAAATGGGCGAGCGTTGGGCGGCACGAACATCGAAATAAAATTATAATAGAGAGCAGCGGCGGCGGTTGTGGAGGCTGCGCTGAGCACATATTTGATGTATCTGCTCCCATTATAGAAGGAGCACCGCTTGGCCGGGCATGAAAGCCGGAGTCGATGGGACTGGACGGAGGGAGAGAGATGGATGGTCGGATTTAACTTTCACCAGCGCCTTAACCAAGAAACAAAATCTGCCTGCTGGCCTTAATGGCAGCAGAGGAGAGGACGGATGGCAGGAGGAGAGGAATACTTCCTCCAAGTCCACTTTTTCTGTCTTCCGAAGTAAAAAAAAAAAAAAAACACCAACCAACCCATTTCCAGTTCTTGCCATCTTCAAAACAAAACGTTCGTCAAGTTTCCGTCAAATGCAACTAATGCAAATCTCACCCACAACCTCACAAAAACAAAAGGAGAGCACACTTACTTCCTGGCCGGAGAGGTAGTAGGCCGCCAACAGTCCTCCGATAAACCGAATGTTGACCTCAAACACCGACACCTCGGCATTCTGGGAAAACAAGAGCAGAAAGAAAATGTCAGACAACACAAATGCAATGTTTACTTGGTTCGGTACACATTTTTGTACGATTCTTCGAGTATTTGAGCTGTAGTTGAAGTTAAGAACGGTTTTATATCCGTCTGCTTCGGTGATGACGGTTTACTTTTGTGGAAAACGACACTTTGTCTGTTTACAGCGGTATTCTAATTAAAAGAACAGTGAAAATCATGTTGTACGCTCGACATTTGGTTAAAGCGAATATGCAAGTTGCAAAAATGGAAAACTTCAGGTTGACTTTCCTTAAAATGAAGTTGCAGAAATGCTCATTTTTAGAGTAATAAAATGATTTGAGCACATGTGACTTCAACCAGTGGCATTAAAAGCTAGTTTAGGTAGACGTAAATCAATTACGAGTCACCAATTGAAGCCCTTCTCTGAGTCCTTCATTAGAACCTGATGTTGATTTGTTTGTATCGTTTTATTGCATTTTTATTCCATTCATTTGTACACTTCCTGTCATGTGTTGGAAAAATAAAGTCTTCTTGACACCCTGCAGGTTTGTAATGCTCTATAGTGATGGTAAAATCCACCAACAGACAGTAAAAACCTGCCAAAGTACTAAAAACTTCTCCACAGTTTGCTCTGATGACAGATAAAGTGAAACCAAAACCAGCTGCGCCATCGTTGCTCTCATGAAGACTGATCAGAGGTGCTGCCGTTCCACTTCTTGCCATATAATCTAAAATACTTATTAGTAAACTGTGTACATTTCTGACTCTGGCTCAGTCCGACGGGCCACAACACTCGCCAGCTTCCCTCTAATGCCGACACAAACCCCGCCGCCGCCGCCGCGCAGCTGAAAATGCAAAGTAGGGGAGAGAGACGGCCGACACTTTAAAACTCCACTTCCAAGGCAATCTGCATTCCTAAACAAATTCTGGATCACACAGTCAAATTTGAAAAAGGGGGAAAGCATCTGCAAGTGAAATCGTTCGATAAACAACTCTTTAACCCGCCGACGGGTAGATGTGGAATAGAACAAAACGCAGGAGCCACCGGGAGCACGACGATCAAAACAATACCAAACCGAAGCCACTGCGAGACAAAGGCGTGTGGATAAACTCGACCATTATGTGTGTTTTCTTTCATTAATGAAGTCAGAAAATTGCATTTTTCTCCACTTTTATGGACCCCTACTGCTGGTCTCGCAGCTTTCCCACAAACCAGCGAAATAAAAACCCTTCAAACAATCACTTCAAGTCAATCGCGAGAAATTTCTCGGCGAGCGACAGCATCCTTGACGGCGATGAGGACAGATCACTCATCCCGGCTCAAATGACGCCGTGACCTTGCTCTGACGTTTTCACAGTAGAAAAATGGAAACATGCCAGATGACGAGGAGTTTACCTGCAAAGAGGGAAGACGGCTGATGCGGCTTTAACATGTTGGACTTGAGGAGATGTTTGGGACCGTGGAGCTACCTGAGGAGGTAACCGCAGCATGTTTACCTCCATCTGACATTCTGCTAATTCATTCATCTCCCTGCTTCTCGCCCTTTGCGTCGACGCAGAGGACTGCCATAAATTGTAGACACTGCTGGGAACAGTAAGTCTTCTTGACGTGCCCCCACAGATGAGACGCCCATCACATCTACACACGTCTGCTTCGAACACCAACCTGCATCGTTCTTGGTCCCAACACGTCTGAATCTGAACCCGAAACAAAGAGAACCGCTCGCTTTTGCCGCCGCACGAACCGGCCTCGCTCCAGTTTCTCCTCAACAGCCTCTCAGGTCGTCGTTTTCTGGTTCTGAAGCACACGTGGAGCAGCCAGGCGGCTCTTGCAGGATTCGGAGCTTGATGAAGGCTGGGAGGCTCTCGTAAAGCCGACCCCATTCTGCGGCATCCATCCATCTAACCCTCCTGTCTGTCAGTCGGCCTCGCTTGTTAGCCGTTTACAAGGAGCTCAGACCCTCGATGAGCAGCGGCGCCGTAAAACAAGGCCGGTTTTAAAACGCCTGCAGTGAACGCAGGCGGGGCAGCGAGGAAACTCGGAGGCTGTGCAGCGATGCACGACAGGACCGGTTTTGATTTGAATAAGTGATTTTGTCACGAAGCTACGCAACGAGACGGCAAAGTGGCTTCGTTCTCTGATCTTCTATTGCAAAGCGGCTCTGAAAGACGACCCGTGATCGCCTCCAACCTCTGCTTTCTCTGTTAATATCCAGCACGCCGGTGTGAAGACAAACCAGCGGACCCGTCCTAAAAGCTGCTTTCTTCAGCATGCAGCTTCCTGCCAAACATAATCTGTGTTTGTTGTAATTGGATCCCGTCACTGTTGTTCACGTTGCTCCTAACGAGGTCGTGGGAATATTTTGATTCGTGCAGAGTCGACTTTGGCTCGTATTTGCATATCGTGTACAGTCACTTTGTGGATCAGCAGAAGCGTAATGATGAACTCCACCGACAGCAGATTCCTCAAAGTATGTCGACGGTAAACAGTAGAAGTTGGGTTTTATCTATGAAGAGCGTGTTGAGATGTGGACGGTTTAAAGAGCATTTGAGTATTTTTGCTCGTAGAAAGTCTGCAAACTTACAAACAGGAGCGTAACTAATGATTATTGTCATAATCTGTCTCTTTAAGTGATGAGCAGGTTCGTCTATAAATGGCAGGAAATGGGAAAAATGTTGCTCGAGCTCGAGACGACGTCCTCAAACGTTGTCACAGAGGAAAGAAAAAAAAAAGAAAAAAAAAGCTGAAAATATTCACATTAAGAAGCTGGAATCAGGGGATTTACACGTTTTTTCTTTAAGAAATCACCCATATTGATCCTGAGTAGTTTAGTAGATGACGATTAATCGATTAAGCGTTCCAGCTCTGCTCACAAACTCCCACAGAAAAACACTGACTTTGTATTTACATCAAGAGTTGCTGCAGAAACACACAGCACAAGAAAAACAGCATGATGTTTAATTTTCTTTACAATGAAGCAGGTAAATAAATTGTACAAGAGTCCAAAAATAAAACCTGTAAATGAGAATATTATGGGACACTTTAAAAAATACTCTTCTATATTCTGAATCTAGACTTTTCTAGTCGTCATCAACCAAAGATTTAAAGCTGTCTGACACACTAGTAAACGTTCTGCTCGTCTTTATCTTTGTTTTTTCTCCTATAAACCTACATTTTACCAGAAAATCCTCAAATGACAGCATTTCTCCTTCGTGTGCAAGTTCTCTTTAAAAAAAATCTCCAAAATTAAACCATTCATTGAGGCAGAAACTGTAAAAACAAAGAGATTCATTGATGTTTTCAGCTCTCAGATGGTCCTCAAACCAATCACGTGTCACAAAATGGTGGCGTTTTATCTAAATTATTTTTATTCTACGTCTTGCGCCAGATGCAACGACAACTCAGGCACTTTTGGGTTGAACTGCAGGACGTGTTTCCACAGAAAGAGGCAAATATCTGAATAAATTAAGCTTAACAGTAAAGTCTGCACACAACAGGTGACATTTGGAGACATTTTATGATGTTTTACAGTCAAATCATTTTAAAAAAGGACACAAATCATATATTTAACCCCTACATCTCAATAGTTGAGGACAATAGAGCAGCACCAACTTTGATTTTATTATTTGTGAGATATAAAAGGTGTTTCCGTGTCCTCTGCATGCATTTCATTTACACAGAGCAAACTGCTTGTTATGTAATAAAACCTTTGAGCGTCCACGGGAGGCCGATCGTCTGCAAACATCTCCAGCTGTAATCATTTCTTTTGATTCCTACTGTAGAACACACATCGCGGCTTTATTTCTTTTTGTTCCCCCTCACAGCACGCCGTCTACATCCGCAACGGTTTGGCTCAAAACTTTTTCACGAAAAAGCATGAAAAAATAAAAATAAAAAATCCGCCGATAGTCCTTCAAGTCTGAAGAGAAAGAATCGAAAAACATGTCATCCAGGCGACTCAAGATAAAATATGAAACCGAGCGACGACTTGTCATTCCAGGTGACAGGAGCGAGGAGGAACCAGAGCCGCGAAGTCGCTGTCAAATGTCTTTCACCTTCAGCGGAAAGACGGGAGAGGAAGCTTCCAATCATGCCAAACATGACAGCTGTGAGCGCTCAGGAGTGACGTGGAAAATAAAAACATTTTCCTTCGTGTCTGAAGTAACACGGCAGCGTTTAGGCGCAGAGGTTTGCGCTAAATAATAAAAACTTTGTCGATTCGTCCCCTCGATCAAATCTGCACCTCCGACGGGATTATTAGTTGACGGACTCCATTAATTCGGAGGATCTTTGGGTCCTGGCGGCGGATCCGCACCTCGTGTCGACGCATCCATCATCGGCGCTGCAGTGCGGAGGCCCAACCGGGACACCGGAGAGTCCGACAATGACTCACCGCTCGCCTCGACCCGACACGGCAGCTACTTCATCATTCATTAGCGGTGAAGCTGGTGGAGCCGCTGGCGGGTGGGCGGCAGGAAAATGTGCATAAATCTGTTAAAAGCATATGAGGAGCGTAAAACTGGAAAACACCAAACGGGCGCCAGATTTCAAGCAAACTGAAAAAACACCAGACCTTTGATGAATTTGGATGATTTTTGAAGATCAGAAATCTCAGAAGATCACTAAAAAGACGACAGAGAGGCTAGAAAAACTACAAACACATGACAGACTGACTTCCTGGTTAAATCATCCCCACCAAGCTTTCAGATGCGTTCACAGTTTTCCACCACGGTGAGGGTTAACTAGCCAAAGTGTTCGTAATAAAGTTTAACTACGCTGATTAAACTGTTGGTTTGTTTACTGTAAGTCAGTTTGTTGTCTCTTCTGTTTTCATTACAGCAAAATCACCGAAACGTTAGAATAATTAACAGAGATAATGATTCTCTGAATGTAGTGGGGCAGAAAATACGTATTACAGTATTTTTCCTCTGCATGCTGAATATCCTGAACAACAAAGAGATGCTACTTAAAAAAAATAAAATAAAAAAAAGTACTTAAAAAAATTAAAAATTATTTAAACCAAAAAATTACAAAATTTTTTGGTTTAAAAAACAACAACAAATTACAAACATTTTTTTAGTTTAAAAGAGAAAAAAATAAACAAATTACACAATTTTTGGAGGTAATAATTGTATTAAAAAAACAAAACCAAATAGACTTGTTCAATTTTTAACTCTGTAAGCTTAAAATTGCAGTAATTTATTTATTTTTTTTTAAATTACATTCCACATGAATGAGAAAAACATAAATGTGCAATCCTATGCCATGATTAATTAACTGCAATAAAAAAGTATGATTATATTCTGCATCTCATTTTTAAAAATTCCCACAAATTTGTGAAAAAACATTGAAAAAATGACGTTCCTCTGCGCACCTCGGTTGAACTGCAGGAAGTGTTTCCACGGAGCAGACGGGAGGCAAGTATGAAGACAAATTAAAGAGATTGAGAGTAAAATAAAACATTCTTGATCAATAAAATAAAAGCAGCACAACTCAAAAACACCTCTCCAGAGTTACTGTTCTAGTTAAATGTCTCCAGCATGGAAAGCAGCCATTTTTTTTAGTATTAGTAACTTGGAAAAATGCAAAACGTAATGATTTCAGTGGGAAAAATAATTAATTTATGGCATTATAACTGTCTATTGGAGTCGTATCTTCTTCTAACCAAGGACTTTATGCTGCAGTGAGTTAAAATGTGACATTAGCAGATAGAAATGTCCCCAAACTGCCCGGGGTTGGAAGCGTTAGCTCGTCGCTAACCGAAGCCCGATTCAAAGCCGTCCATGATCGTGACATTGCAAAGAAACGGGCGAAAGCATCTTCGCCGTCAGGACCACGGCTCAGCGAAGCAGTTAAGCTCAATGTAATGTTGAGGAACTCATATATGCACAGAAGAGTGATTAAACTCCACTCAGAGTGATGTCTTTAATCTCCTAAATGGAAAATCCAGACTATGGCCTCCTTCCAGCCTCAGAGCGCCGACTAGAAAAAGGCCGAACAAATCTTTGATATCCACGAGGGCCGAGCTTAATTATGCTGCGGCCTTGAAAAATACTGCTCTCCACGAGTACCTGTTCTGTGAAAAAAAAAAAGGCCCGGAGCGAAAAATCCAGAGTAATGCCGCGGCCGCGTTGCTAAGATTTAGCCTAAGCTAGCTTAACCTTTCAGAGTGCTACAGTAGCGGCGAGCTAATGCCTGAATCCTCCACCTAATGCAGGCAGGTATAAGAGCATCAAATCAGGCCGTTAATGAAAACGCCGACACGCCTCCCTCCTCCTCTCACTTATTAACACAAGCTTCATCCTCTCTCCTCCCTCTAATCTCTCCCCACACTCCCGTCCTCCTCGCCGCTCAGGCCATGCATATCTGCAGTGATTCCTCATTGTCTCGCGCTGCCGTCGTCTTCGTTGAATTTGTTTAACGTTTTATCTTTCCCCACCTTTTGTCAGGAGGCACGGATTTCATATGTTCTGTTGCTAAGGGAGGTTTTATTACACAGTGCAAGAGAACACGTTGAGATGCTGTCAAATGGATCCAGATGTTGTTGTTGTAAGGTGGATGTGCTGCTCTCATCACTACATCTAACCTACTTTCGTCTTTTGTACGAATATCTGTTTCTATACCTACGTTATATTCTGAGACATGTTCATAGATGCAGTCGTGACCAAAAG